TGGTAGTCATCCTGCAATCCGCCAGGACTTGGCATGTGTGCACATGTGCCTGGCGGGGCGCAAACTGTGTCGACGATGTGGACCTGGCTCCTGACACAGGCACTTGAGTGATGTGCTATGGGACTGGCCCACTAACTGTTAAATAAACTAGCACTTGGCAGCTTGGTGTTAGCACATCATTAGAACTCATTAAGTGGTGATGTTTGCTTTGTGGTTTTGCAAAAAGCTGGGCTGTAAACCTTTATTTGAAGACAAGATGGGGATCAGAGAAGTTTGGGGGCCTGGTCTGAGGTCACCTGGAGGTAGGACTTATAGAAGTATCAAATCAGGAAAGGTCACGGAGGGGCAGGCAGGAAGACAGGAGCTGTTGGCTCGGCCTCTAGTCAAGAACCTGCAACAGTGCCAGGGTCTTAGACTGCAGATCGGAGGGCCTCGCGCTGCAGGTCCCGGTTAACGAGTCCAGGGTAGGACCAAGGACCCCGTGTTTTGAGCTATCACCCCATCTCTGTTGCCAAAGGATTGAGCTGTGCCGCCAGGCCGGGCCTACAGTGCAACCCTCCACCCCAAGGCCACGTGACACGCGCTTCCCAGCCCCAGCCCCTTCTGCCCAACACCTCATGTGCAATGAGAGTCCTTTCTGACATGGAGTCGAGTTCTCCTGATCACCTTGCCCACGCTTCTGGGTTTTAAAAAATGATTATTTTTTGAATTTGCTCTAAAGCACGTGTGCTCACCCAAGAGAGAGTGTGAAAGTAAGCTGCCAGGACTCCAACTGCAGTTGGCCTGTGGGAATCCAGCACCTTAATGACCACACCGCCTGCGGGCCCCTGGCCCAAGCTTCTTGTGTGCGTTACATCCTCTTCTGTGAATAGGACCATGACGCTGCAGGCACAAATGCTTGCTCTGGGGGGCAGGGTGGGCGCAGCCACGGCCAGGGCTTGGGAGTGAAGGCCCTGTGGGCTCCCGGCAGGCTATCCAGCACTCGATCGGAGTTTAATTAGGATCAGCCTGGGACCTGCTGGGGTTCCCTGGGATGCTGGGGTTCCCTGAGATGGGATCTAAGGTCCTACAGGACTTACCTGGAACTCTTCCTGAAGTCAGTTTACTTAGTAACGAGTAGTTTTAAAATGTTATTTTTAAGAAAAAAAATCATTCTATTTTTACACTAAAACATAGGGCTATTATGGATTTGACTGCAAAATTCACCTAGAAATTTAAATAAGTAGTGAGACACCTAATTTCTCCTAAGCCTCACAACCCTGAGCTACTGGAGTGGTGTGGTTTCTGCAGAGTGAAGCTACTTCCTGCTGCAAAGTTCCAGAAGCTCTGGGCACTTGGTCAGTGCACTCGTGTTTGCCTGACCTTTCTGAAAGCTACCCCAGGGGCTACTGAGAAAGTCCAAGGTGGACGCCCTCAGGGCTGGGGGAGAAGGGACAAGCATCCCCACTAGTCAGCACAGCACGTGCCGAGGTAGGAGGCGGGAGCCGAGGAGGGTCCGTAGGTGGCTGGCTGCAGTGCCAAGTGCAGGTCTGTCTGCACTGAGGTCCACCCCAGTCACAGATCCAGCCTCTTCAGGGCCCTGGGAGGGCTGGAGCAGATGAGACCCCCCCCCCAGCCTGAGGCCCTCGGGTGCCATTGGGGGTCTCTGAAGGCAGGAATGGAGTCTGTGAACTGGAGCTTCTCAAAGTCGGTGCCAGACGCTGCCTGTCCCTGCGAGACCTCCGGGGCTCATGGAAATGTCAAGTGCTCTGGGTGACATCACCTCCGCGTGGGAACAGAGCGGTGCTCACGCAGAGCCATTGGAATTGGCAGTGATCTGTGGCCCTGCTCGGTTTCAAAGTGGGGCCCAGAAAGAAGAATCGTGAAAGATGCCCTTGTCGGAGGAAACGTCTGGGAGCCTGGCCAACGGCCCCCTGGGCTTGGGCTGAGAAGGCAAGGCCCACGCCCACCGCAGCGTCTGGCTCCTGCCGGAGGATGCCCGTGCGCGTGCGCTTGCACCTGCTCAGGACCGGCTTCAGTGTGAGCTGCAGGGGCGGGAAACGGGGCACCTCAGCACCCTGCCCCGCCCCGGCATGGGCAGGGCAGCTAGTTCTTGCCCCTCTGGCTGCGGCATCTCAGGCACGTCGGCGATTTTAGGAGCAGGGCGTGTCCCCGTTTTGTAGAAAGAAGCTGAGGCTCAGCCCGGCAACTTGCCCAAGGTCACAGGACTCCCCCTTCCTTTCCGCACTCCTGACTCCTGAGAGGTCACCACACACCTGGAGGCACTGACCTCGGGGCTAGGACCCGGCAGGGTAGGGACACAGTCCTGGCTCTCAGGGAGCGGTATCAGTGGGCGAGGGATAAAGGAGATGACAGGCAAGGAGCAAGCAGCAGGCAGGCCTCTCGGGCAGCACTCACGCCGAGGCTGACAGGGACACAGTTGAGAAGAGCACACGGAGGGCTTTGCCCTTGGACGGCAGAGCGGCCTGTAGTCCCTCCAGACAGGACTCGCTGCTACCACCAGTATGGCGGGGCCGCCAGGACCAGGGCTGCTCTGCAGCTAGGCCAAGGCCGGCTCAGGAACGAGGACCAGACCAGGCCCAGAAACTCACTGAACCAGAAGTTGGCCCAGGGCACGAGGCCCTCCCTCCCTGCCTGCTCCAGCCCGGGACAAGCAGCGGCTCACGAGGGCCTGGCACACCTGGTTTGAGTCAGGCCAGGACTCCAATCGGGCTGCTACTGAGTCAGTTCTAGGAAGCGACCAGGTGCCTCTACAGGACGAGGGAGCCAGGCTGCCAGGCAGTGGGTGGTGGTCTCTGCTACCTGACCCTGCCTCAGGGTGACTAGCGCTCACCACGTTGAGGCCATGGAGGCGGCGAGGCTGCAGGGCACTGGGCCCAGCATCAGGCACCTCTTGGGACATGGGCTGAGTGGTGCCCACCACGGCCGCTGCCTGCTGCTGGTCTGTGGTCCTTGCCTTGATTCTCAGCCCTTCCTTAAATCCTGACAGATCACAGGCCACCCCTCTGCTGCACGTCTCACTCCACCAAAGAGAAGCTGGGAACTGAAGGGTCCACTCCACCTCCACCCAGCAGGCCCACCCAGCAGGCTGACACTAAGGCTGGGGCCGGGACACAAAGCCACAGGGCGGGGCCCCAATCCATGCCCCGGGGCAGAGCAGGTGCCGGGAAAGGCCCAGGGTCTGGGCACTGCAGAAACCAGGTGTGCCCAGGACTGTGCCAGCATCTGCCTGTGCCTGTTTCTCACCTGGGAACACGGGGATTGAGCTGAGATCAGAATTCCTGGAGTGTCGGGTGGTGGGTGAGACAGGGCAGGGTTGAGGACAGATCCTGAAAGAAAATTGCAGGAACCTCTGCTCACGGGGAGAGGGTGGCCTGGGGCCTCTGACCCAGCAGCCAGGCTGGCCTTCCTGCTCAGCACTGGCTTGGGGTCTCAGCCTCCTCCCTGCTCTTCTCAGAGAGATCCTCAGGTTCTGAAGTCCTGGAAAGCAGGGGACGCACTCCATGCACGTATTTATAGAGCGTCCTTCACCAAAACAAAGCCAAACAAGCTAGCTGTTAGGAGAGAGGGTGAGGCCTCTGCCCCGGTGACCTGGGCACAAGGCGGTCACCACACAGACGCCAAAACCTCGGGCTCAAACTCGGGAAGAATGTGGGTGGCACCGGGCCCAGCCACCACCCACGCCCGGAAAGCCAGGACGTGCGGGGACTGGTGAACAGGGACCCGGAGGGCCAGACGACAAGCACAGGATGCAGGCAGGAGGCCCGAGCCTGAGTTTGAACCCTAGCCCTGCCTTTGCCCAGCCTGGGGAGCTTGGTTCTTTAAAGTGGCAGGGATCCGCCTCCCAG